AGATTCGCGACCCCTCTAACAAAGGCCTTTACATGTTGACGATGATGGTTTGATCTTGATTGTTCGCAAGCAAACAGCACCCCCGTTGTCTACGACACACGTCCTGGCGAGCGTGCTGCTCACCTTTCCAACGATGAACCCATTCGGATTTATTTTCCCATGCTCATGCGTCCATGCATCATGCAAGCTTATCGACCATGCTGATGCGTCCTGCCACCTCGGTGCAGCCCGCACGCTAAGCATGCTAGAACGTTTCTATTGGTGGGTTGGCATGCGTGTTTGTAGGAAGTGGTGGGTGCGGCATTGATTGCGATGCCAAGCCCTCCAATCATCTCGTCCGACGCCTCGATGGCCTACTTTGTGCCTTCCGCTACCTTTGGGCCCTGGTGTGTCGGTGAGCGTCAATTTTTCGGTCCCCTCCCGTCAACACCGCGTGGAAACACATACAATCTGCTTTTCACCGGTCGTTTCAGCCGCCGTGCTGATATATACGCGGTTACGGCTGCAGACTTCACCACCGAAGGCTCCGTTGACACCCTTTTCAATCGGCATATTCCTTTGTCGGGTTGCCCGTTGATTCTCTTGTCTGACGACTGCTCTCAAATTTGTTCTAATCTGTCACAGGCTGTTTACGCCCGTCTGGCTATGCGTAAGGTGGCTACTAGCTCTTACCATCCCAACGGCAATGGGGGCGTGGAGCGTGTCAATCACACTCTGACTTAGATGTTGGCTATGGTCGTCAACGAGAGGCAAGATGATTGGGACATTCATCTGCCGTACGTTGAGTTTGCCTACAACAAATCGGTTAATGCCGCTACTTGTTTGGCGCCTCACGAGGTGCATATGACCCGACTGCCGCGCTTGCCGATGACGGTTCTTGAGCATCCACATGCTCGAGGCCACCACAGCCTGATCAACCCCGCCAATCGAATCGCCCATATCGGGCGATGCGTATTGGTGCGGCCTCCCGGGAGCTGGCGCGCGCTAAAGAAGAGCGACCTTTGCCCTCGGGCTACTCGCTCGTCTCGTTTTCAACATGGGACCGTCGCTTCGTCAATGCTCCGTGGCCTGTTGGCGCCTTCTTCTGTTTCAAAGCACGCAACGGATTTTGGTAGTTGGGCAAGATTTGTGGACCACCTCCACCGTTCGACTTCTTCTACGTCGTCCGCTTCTTGGACGACCCTGGACCTGTCAAGCTCGCCCTTCCTGATGTTCGCTACTCCACTGTCGAAACTGCCGTCTCCGGATCGTGCCTTCAAGCTCACAGCGGCAGCGCCCTTTTCAAGGGTATTCTTCGCAACATCGACACGTCGCGTGGCGGCGTAGTGAAGGACTTGTTGCCCGATGACTTCGTGCGCTCCCATTAAGATGGCATGCTTGGTTGCTTTTGCTTTCTGTTGCTCTTACAATAGCATTATTTGTTTCTGTTTTCTCCTTTTCTTTCTTTTGGCTTCAATAGTCCGCCAGGTCAAGCTTTCTCTGTTCCCTGCCGAGGTTTTACCAGCTATTGTTTGGTGTCACGACCCCTTTTCTTCTTTGCTTCGCTTCCGAAACGTTAGTACGTTGTGGTGCTTTGGTACGTTTTCGATGTATTTTTGTCTTTTCGTCTTGGAGTTTGCGGATTGTAGGTGTTTCGTGACCGTTGTTGTCGCTCCCACGCTACCGTGGTGGTTGATTGGCGATTCTTATCGTTTTGTCCATACAGGCCTTTTCACCGTTCCGACGACGTTACTTTTTCCTCGTTCCGACGACGTTCCTGTTTTTCGTCGTTCCGACAACTTTCCTTTTTTTTCGTCGTTCCGACGCCCTTCCTGTTTTTCGTCGTTCCGACGACGTTCGTTCCTCTTCGTCGCTCCGGCGACGCTTATTTTCTTCGTTTCTTTCGTATCCTCTTTTCCCCCATCTTTTGGGTTCCGACGTGTTCGACGTGTTGTGATATTTGTAGCCTTCGTCCTCTTTCCCCCTTTTTTTTGGGTTCCGACCTGTTATAGTATGTGTAGCCTTCGCCTGTTGCGGCCCTCCCGTTGGTTTCCTCTATGTCAGCCCCAGGTTATTCGTTCCTGTACCATTAATTTTTATAGGTCAAACGATGGTCTTACGACTCATCGAGTGAGAGGTGTGGGGGCGTGAATTGTGTTATTTTGGAGCTGCGCATCCTCGATACTCTCATTTGAGATTCGACGGGTGATTGCCAAGTTCCGAGATTTGCGTATCTGCGTACGGGAACCTCCAGGGTGGGCTAGTGTTATGGGATTTGAATGTGTAGGAAAGTACCAAAGGTAGTGCGGGCTAATGCCCAGAGGAAAGTGCGGGAGATGAAACTCCCGAGAAGAGCTGGTGAAGGCGTCGAAGGTTAAGGCCCGGCGGAACCAGGGCCGTCGTTGTCGATGACGACGTGGGACGCTCGTGGAGATTATACACGAAAGTGTCAGCAATGGGATGCATCGCAGACGAATCAATGCCATCTGTCGAAACAGGACCCTGAACCCAATCGCCCGAGTCGCTCAAACTGCGGCGCGACACAGCGCTAAGAGGCCTTTTGAGTAGGGGAGCCGAAGCTGTACCCAAAACGTCGCCTGGGTCGAGAGAAGCGTTGCCCGCGAGCGGGATTCGTGGACAACCATTGTGCACGAAATGTTCCTCGGAAGAAAACATGGCGCATTGTGGAAGCATGTCCACTATATAGTTACCAACGAGAGCTGGGGAGTCATCGCTGTGCACGATTCCTGTTTTCGCGGAAGGCTTGCGAGCGAGCCTCTTGTGTCAACAAAGGAGTCCACCAAAAAGGGTCGTCTGTGTTACGAAAACTGGAAGCGAGGGCGAATACGTCAGACTAATCGGCTTGCGAGGCGGGCCAAGAATATGTTAGTTGTCTGAACGGGTCGGCATCGTGAGATTGTACAGGCCAAACTACAGGGTTCTGTGCAGAACCTGGTGCCCACTGGCCCGAAGGCGCTGGAGCGCGGTGATTAGACCGCCGTGGCTGCGAAGAGCCATGCGTCGAAGACAACGAAGAGTAAGATGAGCTACCGATAGCCAGCGTTCTATAAGTCGCTAAAGGCGCGAACGCCTCCCCCATATCCGCCATCGACGCAAACGGAGTGACGGCCGTGGCCAGAGCACCCGGGTACAAAAGCGGAGAACGCTTTTTCTAGAACCATGGACACACTAGGAGCCATTGTACGTTCAGAGCCAGTCACAGACGAAACCAACAAACCGAAAGCACGAAGGTAGTCCGCGAAAGAAGTACCATCGGCTACACCAAATTGTTGAGGTCGCAATAACGACTCTTGACGGTCTCCGACGTCAAATTGCTTCGCAAGATGACGCAACAGCAGCTGAAAGGCTTTCGGCCCAGAGGCTCTACCATCCAAGCTCCGGTTCACCTGCCGAAAATAATCAGCAATGGAGAGAACGAGGTCGGCGGTAATTTGGAGGGCTTGTCAGGGGTGATCGCACTCAATTCTTTTTTTTTGAGGGGACGTCCCCATCCAAGTACGAAATCAGAGCCGTTCAACCCAGCACTCTTCTCATCACACAGCAACAAAACGTCGGACAAGGCCGCGCGTGTTGTGCGGATAAGCTGCTGATAGCCATCTCCCGGCAACAGAGTTGTGGAAAGGCGCATGGTTGCGACGTTCTCGACTTTTTTCAAGTTGAGAGTGATGTACTCGCGTTGCATTGTATTGACATATGCAACGCGAGCAGTGGCACCAGTCGCATCTATCGAGGCTTGACGGGCATGTGCGATGTTCGAAGAAGTGACAAAAGACGATCATCGATTACAACGGGGTGTGTGACAGCAGCTACCGAAGCAGCAGGGGAAGGATGGTCCGAAGACAACACAACATGCGGAACACCCGGCACAGGTGGTACGAACGCCGAAGAGGGTGGTAGGTTCGAAAACCCAGGATTCTGCACTACTACTCCTGAATCTACGGCATGATGAGCAGTAGAAAAAACAGGGGTTACATTAGTTTCCGAAGAAACGGGGGGGGCAAAGCCGAAGCAGAGGTCGAAGCCGAAGCAGAGGTCGAAGCCAAAGCAGAGGCGCGGAAGCCAAAGCAGAGGCCGAAGCCACAATAGATGTCGAAGCTGAAAAAAGAGGCTGAAGCGGTCCCTCCACATAACTCCAGCAGCACACCGGTAGTAAAGGCACTGCAAGCGTGGGCTCATCAGACACCACCGGCTGTGGCGTCCCATCCTCCTGAAAGTCCCTCCTTCGAAAGTGAAATCGCGCCTCAAGCATCAGCTGAACACCCAGCCGGCGAAGAGAGCGGCCGCTCAGATCCCATCGTCTCGGGGTTTGAAGTCCGTGGTTGTCGTCGGTCTCGTGTCGTCCATGATGTCGAAGCCGGAGATGATGTCCTAGAGTCGGCCGGTGTTGGCCGCGTCTCGTCGACTCGGGTTGTGATTGCTGTACCAGCATGATCGTGGATGGAAGGAAGCGTGGAAGGGGGGGGGGGCACCGAAGTATTCATAATACCGTAGCAGGTGGAACAGTCGAGGTTACAGCTTGAGTGGAACAGTCGAAACTGCTCGTATATGTCCTTTACTTGGAAGGGGAAGACGTTTTTTCTCTTGTATTCGACACGCAAGGGGAGTAGGGAGAAGTGAAGCCCTCCTTAGAGTTCGAGGGGTCCCCGCACATGCAACCATTTCAAGGTGTACATATGCCCCATCTGCGTGCCCTCTGTTGTTGCCGGTAGATCTAACCAGTCCGTATCCATTCACACGAACACCCTCCCCGGTTTGCACGCGAGTGGCAAACCTAACGTGGGGCATGGATACCCCTGATGTACCAAAGGGACTCAAAACAACAACAGGCTCGAGGGAAACCCGGCCAACCGGATCAAAAACCCTCGTCTAACACCCTCAATATAGAAAACCGTCGCTTATCACGGAGGATTCCAACCGCCGCACTTTCAAGACAAGACCAAGGCAGGACAGATTGAACCGGTCACGCTGATTGCACACCCGATTCAACGCTCTCGGCGTTTCTAGGCTCCAGCCGCGGGTGACGCGCCGGCACAACGCTTCCTGCGTNCGATCTTCTGGAGCTTGTTCAGAGGCAGGGCGATGTCTGGCCTCGTCAGCTTCGTCCACATCAGGCATCCGATCGCCTCCCTCACAGGCTTATCCACCGCGGGCTCGTCATCTCTCTTCGGCCCTAGGTCGGCATCGGCGGCAGCAGGGGTGAAAGCGGTCGTGGTCACATCAAACCGCTTCAGGATACTCTCAATGTATGCTGTCTGGGACAGCCTGGTGATGTCATTTTCTATATCCATGGCGATAGCATACCCGTCGTACCAGGTACACTCCCCCAGATCTTTCACCGGAAACTTCTTGTTGAGGGAAGCGAAAAACTCCTCTCGCTCTCCCTCGTCTGCCGCCACTAAGATGTCATCAACGTAGATCACGATGAGACCTACGACCTCTCCATCCACCACCTTCCGGAAGACACACGGGTCAACCCTGCAC